CCACCATCATCATCACCACCATCATCGCCATTGCCATCATCATCATCATCATCATCATCATCTTCATCATCATCATCATCATCATCATCATCATCATCATCATCACCATCACCATCACCATCACCATCATCAGCATCATCACCATCACCATCACCTTCACAAGCATCATGGTCATTGTCATCATCACCATCACCATCACCATCATCATCATCTTCTTCTTCTTCTCAGCTGTCTTTGTCACATCGTGATTGCCTTTGTGTTCCGTTTTCAGCACGCAGCAAGCACTTTGCCTCCTGGCCAAGACGACGCGAGGTGCTCACGTACATCCGTGTTGCTTACCCGGCGCATCTCTCCGCGGCAGATAGCGCGAGATGAGGCGACGTGCAGTCGAAGCCCTGAATCCTAAGTTCTAATCCGACGCCTCAGAAACAGGGAAGCTCCGAAAACATAGTTCCCCTAAGTAGGTCAATGAGAAAGCCGTCACGAATCCGCATTGCGACTCTGAGGCGTGAAATGTGAGGTGCGGCATTTTCAGCTTGCGTTTTGCTCTGACAGATTCACATCACCGAAGCGTAGATGAAGCAAGCAAAAGCACTCCAAGCCCACTACCCTAAATCTATCACCTTTTCTGGAATGGTGGCCTTGGTCGTTTGGCGGAGGCAGACGGAGCATACTTCAAGCCCCTAGTAGACGGAGACGTGCTGTCTGCTTCGGACCCCCAGCGCCTGGTGGTCGCCGTCATGATGGCGCCGGCCCTGGTTTTCAATCCATACCTGTTGATAGGCAAAACCTGAAATATCAATGATAACGAGTTTGCTATACTCCATCAGCTTGCCGTACATACGATAATGCACCAGGACATCGTCCATCAGCAGTGCTGTGGTGTGCTCTTTGAGTTGCAGCCTCAAGTGCGTCAGAAGGCAGGCACTGGTGCATTGGGTTGCTGATGCGGGGGAAGCAGCGACAGAGCATTATGGTACCTGCAGAATGAAGCTGAGCCCACTGAAGCATTTTGATCCAACAGCTCAACGACGGGATGGTTTCCCTCGTCAAGACGATGGATGGTGAACAGTAGAGACTTGTCTCCCCATTGTCTCGCTCTATGTCGCGAGTGGACGGGGTGTCCCATGCCGGGTCTTTGATGTTTGTCTCTTTGGTCTCCCCTTATTTGGGACTTTCGATGCTTGTCTCCCTTGTCTCACTTCAATTTTCCAGACAGTTTACTCTCGGGGTTGTGTTAATATTTCATAGAATGCCGTTGTGTTTGACGTTCATCTCGTTCAGGCTCAAATTTTCTGGTCCCCTTTGACTGGGTTACCCCACATTCGTTTATTCTCTTCTCTTTCAAGTTCTGCAGGATCTTCCGAGCGTTTTGCTCCTAAGGAGCAAAGTCACTTTAAAGTCTTCAGATTCTATCGAGCATCGGGTTCCTGATCTCTTTCATGCGGTTCCCTCCTGTTTTTCAATTTGTCTTTCCCTTGGGACTGGCGCCCACGCGAAATAGGGCAGCGAATATGAGAAAGAGGATAATTTGAGAAAGAAGTTCAATCCAGTCGACAAGGGACTAGAATCTAGAAACTACGAGAAAGCAGCAGCAAGCTGCTCAAACGAGACTGGACTAGAGAATTTGACAAAAGGAAAGTTTGAGAAACCAGTCGAAAGTTGTAGAAGATATGAGAAAATCAAGGTTCGAAAAGAAATTAGGGGGTTTGACTCGACAACGAGGAGAGTTCGAGAAAGGAGTGCAAACCAGTTGAAAGGGGACCACAAGTCCCGTATTTTTGTACCACACGGACCCGACGCCTGACTATAGAACCCATATGAAATCTTTAATGGAAACTCTGAAATCCTTTGAGAACGTTTCCTGGGAAGTGACCCAGGTGCTCCTGTCCGCGGGCCTGCTGCGCGTGGCTTCGCTGTTAGGCCCCCTGAGCTGGCAGGCGGGCTTCATTTCTTTGATTTGTTTTGGTCAGTAGGAGCAGGAGAAGGGGTACGAGGAATCCGGGTGTATCTAATACCAGGAACAGGAGGCATCCAAGACCTCGTGTTGAGATGCAGTGGCTGCAGAGGCGTCTCGTCCCGAAGTTGGATCAAAACCATCTGGAGCCATCAGGTCACGGTGCACATTCCGGAGACTAAGAGGGCCATGCACACACGGCCTGTGTCTGAACAAATCCAAGTTCGGCAGTGGGCTTGTAGCTTTAGATTGTAGGGTTTGACATTCAGAATCCAATCATGGTCCTGGACATTTGTCCCGAGCTTTACGTCGGTGGTGACGAAAACCTGCTCTGGCAACCTGAGAACGACGAGGTGACCCAGCGGCGGCGCTGGTTGGCGCCGAAGGAAGCGCCAACGCCCGTTTCAGCCAAGGAGCCCAAGGTGCCGAAGGCCGTCGCAGCCACGACCGTCGCGCCAGCCGCCTTAAGCTCGGCTCCATACTCCACTCCATACTCCTATGTCCTCGGCCACGCCCCAGGACATGAGCTTTCCAGAACTTATGCAGCTCGCAGTGTCGCAGGCTGCCAAGTTCCAACTCGCACAAGCTAAGCCCCGCTCCCTTATCCCTCCGACACTGAAGTTCTCTAGCTTGCGCCCCAATCAAGAAACCCTGCACTCTGGAATCGCGCGGACTAGACCCCTGCAGCGACCTATGAAGCCACATAATCACTGATGCAACCCCTTCTCCAGGCAGCTCTCCGTGTCACACCAAGACGATCCCAAAGCCCGCAGTGAAGATGGTTGCAAGCACCGCTACGTCGATTCTCGACCGGAGCCGTTGCCCCGCATTCCCACATCCAGCCGTGCACATGCAGGGATTCCAGCGAGGAGCCCCTCCCGTCTACGTCATCCGGCCAGTGGTGTATGTCCAATCTCGAGCTGCTCCACTTCGAGCACACCCAATGATTCGGGAGACGTCCTTTCTCGGAGGTTACCGCCCGATGATGTATTCCCCCGTTTATGTACGCAGTCGCGTAATTCTTCCGCCACGGGTGCTGGTAAGGGCGTAGTCCTTGGCATTCATGTGGGCTCCTGGCGGAAGCATGTCCACACTCAACCCCCTCAGGCCGAAAAGGGCTTGATTATGTTTGATTGATAGCATACCGTGGGTACCCCAGAAGTCTTTCTCGTTTTATTGTGTGAGTGTGGTAGCAGTAGAAAGGGTGCCCTCATTTCTGAGGTTTAGCTGGGGAACCTTTGCATTCGTGCCGAAGTGGTGCCTATGAGCCCGCTAGAATGACATGCTGGCTTGTGCTGCAAAAAAGACTGGTTGGTGTCGTGGGTTTTGCAGTAGCAACAGGAGTAGCAACGGAGATGACGAGTCCTAAAGAGTATCGTTGTCTTCGCAAAACCAACCCATCGTGTGTCTCAGTTGCACTCGGACTATGGCACCTGCTTGCCTGGCCTACCCGGACCCCGGCCCCCACGTCGGCATGGAAGTCCCTTCATTTCTTTTTTGTGTGTTGCTGTATGTACTTCAAGATGAGTCATACACAAAGTGGACATGATTTGGATAACTAGGGCATTGGGGAGAACACAGCCACCTGCTGAGAGCATGCATACCGTTGCTCTTGTTCTGGCTCTCCTTCTGAGTATGACACAACCCTTCAAGTTTGTACTGTGGACTTGACGATTAAGAAACAGGAGACTTAACTTAGCGGCTTGAGAATCAGGAGCTAGGTTTGGGCCTGGGGGTTTCTTGAGGATTTGACCTCAAGGGCTTCGGGATCTGAGAGATATTGAGGCTTTAAGGTTAGGATTTGGGATGTATCGGGTTTAGGGCTAAGGGGGGGGAGGGCTTTGCAATTCCTAGAGCCCTGGACCACGCTTCATCTTAATGGATTGGATTTAGAGCCTTCGCCCTCCAGTCTTCAGCCAACCCCCGCTTCAATCAAAAAGCCGAAGCTTTCTCTTCGATTAGGGTTTAGGGTTTAGGGTTTAGGGTTTAGGGTTTAGGGCTTCAATCAAAAAGCCGAAGCTTTCTCTTCGCTCGCCAAGCCCAGAGCCTGAACTCCAAACACCGCACCCCGTGACATGGCGATCGATGAGGGTCTTGGAACATTGGAGTCCCTTCAATTAAACGCCCTGAAACCCTGAAACCCTAAACCCTAAACCCTGAACCCTAAACCCCTAAACCCTGAACCCTAGACCCTGAAATCCGAAGAGCCCTCGAACCTTAAAAGCCAGTAAAAACCACCCTAGCACCCCTGAAACCCAAATCCGAAGCCTTCGGAGGCCTCCTGTTGCTGCTTGCTCGCCCTGGTGCTCGGTGTGGAGTTCGCAGACTTCGGTACCGGCGTCTACCACTTCTCGGCCCCTCTCAGCGTTTAGGGTTTATAATTACAAGGGTTCATGGTTTTGGGCTCGCTCCCTTTTTTCAGGGACTCCCAAAAGCAGCCTAAAGGCCCTGAGCCCAAAAAGCACTGAGCCGGAGGTTGATAACTACGGATCTGCAGAGACGCCCATCGTCGGATCTCAGATCGAAGCTTTCCAAGGCCCGACGGCAGAGGTGTTGCTTTCGTTCATTGAATGGCTTTTTGACATTTGTAGGATGGCTTCTTAGGTTCAGGGTTTGGAACAGGGGTCCATGGTCTGGAACAGCTCCCCCCCCCCAAGTAAACAGTGGTCGTTCCGAAGCCGCAAGCTTCCCAGCCCCAAATTTGAGGCCCCAACGCTCCAGACCCCAAAAGCCTCAACTGCTTTGCTGGTGCAGACTGCAGCCCTAGCCCCTAAAGACCCCGCAGCCCCAAACCCCTGAAGCCCTCAAAAGCTTTACTGATGAGAGCCCGAAGCTCTCAATAAACATGGGCCCCATCTGTAAACCAAGCAGGCAGGTCCTGCCTGTAAGGACTCTAGACTCCAAAAGAGCCGAGCGAGGCCACCATGAGGAGCCCTGGACGATCACCTACAGAGACTTCTGCCCGGGGGCCTGGACTTTTCAGGTCTATTGGGCTAAACAGTGCGCGAATTTGTACCAGCAGATAGGAACACTGTTCCTGAGGTCTCCCTAGAATTATGCTGATAGTTTCATACTCGCCGAAACCGTACTCTCATTGTTGGGGCTCTTATATTGGGATCCTGGGGGGCTTCTGGGTATCGGAGAGTACGGTCATTAAGTTTAGGGTCCGTAGGGTCTTGAGGCTTTAGAGTTGCAGCCTCTAGGTATCAGGGTAACGCTAAACCGTATAGTATCCCCTGCAGCAACCCCCTACCCTCAAGCTCTGCTGGGTCTCGACTCCTTCACGCAAACCCTTCGCCGAGGCAACAACTGCTTCCCAACCTGCTCCTGTGCCGCAATTCAGCATCGGGTTCCTGTGAGGGGCTAATTATTACTAAGTTACTCGGGTTTTGGGGCTTAGGCTTAGGGTTCATCGGGTTTGGGGCTCCTAACACTCGAAGTTTTTCAAATCGAAGCCCATGAACCGAAACAGCCACAGGTCTAGCGACAATGCCCTTTCTCATCGCCTTCGAGGTGTTCTGCAGCCAGCCGTACATCCTCCTTTGGGCACCCTGGTTGCTCATGCAGTCTCTGTCTCGGTTCGGCTCAGATCACTGTACGATTTAGGTTCGAGCTTTAGACTCAGGTGCAGTTGTGAGAGCTTGTTGTGCAAGCTAAGTGACTCGGTAGAGCTGGAGGCATAAGTGGTTTCACTCTCTGTTGCCTAGTGGCCGGGAGGCCACCTTATCAAGCCTGCTTGACCGCGGCCCCTAAAACTTAAGCCCGGAACCTCAAACCGGAAACCCCAAGGCCCAAAGCCATCCAACTGACAGAGCCTGGGTCCAGAAACGTTGGGGGTTCGCAGGGCCTACCCTTCACCCGTCAATACTGTAGTGTAGTAGACCTAAGAGGTGCCGTAAGGACTAGGCTTGGATATAAACGTTACCATGAGGATTGACATACGGGTTTTGCGAATTCTCTAAAACCTTAAACGCTACACCCCGAAAGCCCGTGAGCCCTGCAGAAGATCGTTCCGAAGCTGAGGCAGTCGTTGCTTGTGCAGGCATTGCCTTCTGCCAGGAGCCGGCTCCTCAGTTGTTGACGGTGTGAGAGCTCCAGTGCCGTAGGGCTCTATGCTAGAATTTAGGGCTTAAGGTTCATGGGTTAGGGTCCAAGCCGGAAAGTTCACAGGCCCAGTATTGCCCCATCCCATCCCCAGTTCTGCAGATCTTGGCAGCGATGCTGTTGTGTTCCAGAGGTTTCACAAGTGGAGCCACACGCTCCGCTCGCAATGCCACCCCTTTGTAAACTGGCTTCAAGACGCTGCTGGGCCTTCTTCGGCAGAGCTTTTCTCTTTCATCCTTTTGTTACTGTATTTCGGGCCTGAAGAGATCGATCCCGATTTCAAAGGGGGCCTTCGGCAACACATTTCGTATGGAAGAAGGTGCAGACCACGCCCCCTCCATTCGGCAAGCCCTTAACGACTGGACTGGCCTAAGGTTTCACGACCACCCATTCGAGAGAACCCAATGTGCGACAGCAGCAAAGACACAGACCCGGAACAGGAGCATTGCCGATAACAGTGGCAAGAGCAACAGAAGAGGCGAACAAGAGCAGGAGTGAAAATCAACCCACTGGAGCTCAGGGCGGATTGGAGGGGAAGCTGGGCAAAATCCACCTTAAAGTAATACAGCACTCGCCCTCAACTTAAGGCCCCAAGCCCTAAATGCCTTGCAGGTTGGAATTCTGGTGCACCGGAAGGCCCACCTTCGCCACCACAAGGCCCCGTACGAGACCAACTACTGCATCGTCACGGGCCACATGAACCCCCTCTTGGACAGGAGAGCCGTGGTCAGGTTGTAGTAGAGTTCAGAGTGTTGTAGGGTTTAGGGTTTGGGGTTTAGGGTTGTTGGGTGTTTTCGAGTTGCGGGGTCTTTGCTTAGGGCTTTCGGAGACGAGAGCCCTTTGATCGGAAGCATCTTCAACTCTGCCCTTCAACCCTTGCGCTCCTCAACCTGCAGCTGTTTGGATCTGTGAAGTTCGTGGGTAGAGTCCCGGGTAGAGGGTTGCCAATTTGACTTTCCGGGACTGCTCTTTGCTGAGGGTGAACCGGCTTGTGGGTTTAGGAACGAAAGAGGGGTTTTGAGGAAGTCCTCTGCTCCCCATCTATGGAACTGCGCCCAACAGCCAGTGCATGAAGCCCGAACCCCTATGGGCCTCGCAAGAGCCCTGGAACTTTACATACCCGAACCATTACAGAAAGCCGAGGCAAGCCTTGAGATCTTTGAGCCTGAGCCTGCAGGCAGTAGGCAAAGCACATGTCACACACCCAAAGAGCCATGAAGCCAAAAAGCTAAAATCCCGAAGCCTCGATATCGAAAGCTTCGGAGGCCTAGTACCCCAGAATCCCCACAGCCTTCCTACCAGCCCCTTTAACGAACCCATGCCCCTTTGAGGACGGGCTTCTTCACCGGCCTGGGTGCCAGCTCCCCGGGAGCTCCGAGATAGTGTTTTCGGGTTTGAGGCTATTCGGGTTTACGGTTTAAGGGTTTCGGGAACGGGGTATTCGCGTGACGGGTCCGGGGCTCGATGCCTCCATGAATCAAAGCTTTGGGACGTGATCGCTTCGGACGCACTCTAAAGGCCCTCTGGGCTCACGGGCTTTTGGAGTATCGGTTTGGACGACTTAAATGGGGTTGAACAGACTCAGCCGAGGCGCTCATCGCAAGCTGGACCGGCGCCGCTTGCTCAGTGCAAAAGTTGTCCTTGCATCTCTGCCCTACGCTCGACTGGGACGCTGCCGCGACCGTTTCTACTTCTGTCGTTTATCTTCTGACCGCAACCGCGCGTTAAAGGTTTTGCTTAATGTTGGCTAAAGCATGGGCATTCGAGTCACTGACATTCCAGTTTCCTTGATATTTTACTCCTTCGGTTAGCATGTGCAGCTCCATGCCGCGCCCTTTGTTTTAGAGGAAGGTGTGCCCTTCCCGAGTTCTACCTGGACCTGTGATCTGTAGTCGTACCGGTAAGATCAGCAAGCAGTAGTATCGACAGGCCGGCAGCTGCAGCAGCAGGAGGAGGATTAAGAGTAGCAGTAGCAATACTCGTGTACAGTAGACGCGCCTTAAGCCGACAGGAACGTCCTCCTCAACCCTAGCCCCGCGACATGATCCCAACATCTTCAAAAGGCCTGAACTCTAAGCCCGAATCGTGCGTGTCCGGCCAGTAAGTCAGAGCCCGAAAATCCTAACCCGATTCTCCGAAGCTAGAGCGCTAGACCGGCTCAGGTGCGTCCGCGCTGCGAAACTGGTGAGCGCTTCGATTATCTGCTCAAGAAGAGGGCTAAATGATCCAGATTTGGTTGTCGAGTTTGACTTGCCAGGAGGTCCTGGTCGGATTTGGTATTGCAGGAGCTTGGGTTTGCAATATGTCGCAGAACTGCATCCTTCTAATTCACTCCCGCACCCCAACACTGCACTTTGTGATCTTTCAGACGTCTAGGCGTCTGGGGAAGTTTCACCTTTGCGTTGCTCGCAATCTTCGGGTCGATGGCCAGACCCATTTTCCAGCGGAGGTGAACGCGAAGCTGCCCACAAAAAGCTCAACTGCGAGGTAGATGCCCTACAGCAAAGCAATCGTGGTAGTGGTGCTTCGGAATAAGCATATCATGAGCTTGATGCATTCAATGATCCGCATGCTTAAGGTTGCACTGGTTGCACTCACCTGCCCAAGACTCGTAGGCGAGTGTCTTGTTCGATCCCGCTATCGGTGCCATGTCGTTGTTGCTGCCGCTCCTGCGGCTCTTGCATTCGCTGCGACTCAAACCTCATATCTAAACCATATGACGACGACGACGATGGTTATGTCGATGAGATTGATGATGATGATGAAGGTGATATTGATGGTGATCTTGGTGGTGATGTTTCACTATGTGATGAAGAAGAAGATGATGGTGATGGTGTTGGTGATGGTGATTGTGATGGTGATGATGAAGAAGATGATTGTGGTGGTATTGGTGTCAGCTGCGGCGGCGGTGGTGGTGGCACTGATGGTGATGGTAAGGGTAATGATGGTGGTGGTGATGGTGGTATTGATGGTGGTGATGGTGATGCTGATGAGTACTATCATGGTTGTTATGGTAGCTATTACGATTATG